AAAGGCATGTGAGTTGGTTCCTTTTAGCTCACTGACAAGATCCACCACCAATCATAATTATCAGAAGTGTTTCCTTCTTCATTTAGATGTCCATATTACTTGCTGTTTCTTTCAGAGACAGATAGTCAAAAACCTAATTTTTAACACTCTAGTAAGAATGTTGCACCTAACCTGTCACCGTCCCAATTCTTGCCCCATTCCTACTCATCTACTACTAGTAACAAACAGTTGAGCACTAGCTTGTAGACAGTTGTGAGGGGTCTATTCATTCTAGCAGTACTAAAGGTGTGGATTTATTGGAAAAGTGGTTGGGAAGAAATAGCAGCAGTATGTGTGTGTGTGGTACTAATTGTGCTAATAATAGTATCATGGCTGTTGTTCTTCTTGTTTGTACTGGTCCTCCAGTGAACAATATATTCAAAAAAATTGCACATAGTATTCATAGTAGTAGTAAGCATGAACAATTTGCATCACCAACATCTGTATCAGCAGCATCCATACTACTATTAGAATAATAGTAGCAGTAGTACTAGTAGTACCACAAATATCTGCTGTAAATACTAGCACTTATTTTGGTGATGTTCTTCTTGAATGTAGTAGTGACACCTTTTGATTTGGTCTATACTCCATACTAATACTGGCAGGTATTGGACATGTCTCCCACTATTTTGCACATGAAAAAAATTATTGTACTCATACTACTCTTTTAGTAGTTCTTACAAGCACATGTATTGGTGACCATATGATGTACTTCTTCATCCATCATGTTTGTACTAGTACTAGTACTAGCTAGTAGTACTAGAATCTTTAAACTTAAAATCATTAGTGTTTTTTTGCCTGTTTTCTTATCAATCAGACAAAATTCATCTTTTGCAAGTGCCCTCGCATACAGACCTGTTTCTGCAGCAGTAGTAAACATTGTATTTAAGCTATTCCTTGCTACTGTTGTTGCTGTTGCTGTTGCTGTTGCTGTTGCTACTACTGCTGCTGCTGCTGCTGCTGCTGCTACTGTTGCTACTACTATGTCATACTAGTACTACTAATACTACTAGTAGTAGTATGATGATAATAGTAGCAATACTACTAGTAGTACTAATAATAGTAGCAGCAGCGTAGTGGTTCTACCCCCTCCTCTACCCCCCACCCCAGCAAACAGCTGTTGTTTTTGAAGAAGAATATACACCAGTAAGGTTGAGAAATGGTGGACCACCAAAGCCTGCTAGAGGATGGTAGTACTAGTAGTACCATTGAATGACACATGAGGAGAGGAGGAAAGCAACAAGAAATTGTTCACAAAGGCATGCCTGCATGGTATTTGTATCAATGAAGTAATACTTCCACTACCACTAGTACTAGTAGTACTACTAGTAGTGCTTTTTGTCATTGTGTTTTTTCTAGTATGGGTTGTACTATAAGGTGGAAATAGTAAGATAATGTAAAATGTGCACAACAAATTGTCAGCATGGTGAATTCTTAATGAAATCATGTCTGGTACCAGCAAGAAGAAGAAGAAGATATGAGTTTCAAAGTGGTAGTAGTGGTAGTGACCCATAAATGGCTGAAGAATATGAGGAACATTTTAAACACATAGTACTACTACTAGTACTAGTACAAGAACAAGTCTAGCTGTTTATTGATACTTGCTGTGCAATACTACAAGAATATTGAATCTTGGTTCTCTCTACCAGCAGGCAGTGTACTAACAACAACAACACACCCAATTCTTAAATGACTGATGGGTGGTGGTGATGGAACAAGTACTACTAGTAGTTCATCAACCACCAGGAAAATAACATATGATGTACTAGTACTAGTACTGCCAAAAATGACTTTACTTGAACATTTCTTCACCATTTAAAAGGTAATAATAGCATGCACTTCTTTGCACACTTCACAAGTGTGCCTACTAGTACTTGATTGGATTGTAGCAAATAGAAAGATTCCAGCATCTGCCTGATTATTGAGCTCAGTAGTAGTATTTCAACAGCAATGGTGAAACTCAGACACATCCTATTCTGGATCAGAGGAACAACAAGAAGCATATCTTAGTATCTTAGCCAATGAAACTTTTGAGAGGTAGCTTTGACATTAAATAATTGGAAGGTGCTTGAGCTAGACCTCTTCCCCAACACTGAGCACGGCAACAAATTTCTAGGGACAGTCCACGCCACARCAAACTCCTTTATTGACCTCAYCCAAGTGGTGGTAGTRGTAATAATCGACACGGTGGAAAAGTCCGTCAAGACGCTGCCTGCAACGCATTCAGATTTTGATCCTAGTTTCATAAAAGATCGTATTGCCAAGTGCGCACATACGAAGTGTAATGTAMAAGGTGCTGGAATCTAAGTCATTGTTAAACATGTAATAATAGCTATTCGTTTCTCTACGCTTCATTCAGAGTGCAAATGAGAAAACATGCATGCTTTGCATCATGTCAAGCGGTAAACATTTCACCTGATTCGGATGCAGACCAATAAGTACTACGTATGTAAGGGCGACCGCTTCGCCTTTTCGTGTTGACGCTGCAACTGGCAGGTGCCACCAAACACTGTGCTGCACACAGAGGCAGCATGCCGTACCTTCCTTCACCACTGGTTGTAAGCTTCGGATGAAACGAATGCGACAACGTTRCCCAACGCCGACGTTTCTCGATCGGCGGTCGGYGGAACCACGTACACTCCTCGGGGGTACGATCGCGTCGTCATCACCGAAGACGAGTCTTCCTCTGCGTTGTCGGTCACGTTGGTGCTGTCAATCCTGTCGATCATGTCCAGGATGCTCTTGCGTCGTCGGTGTTGCGATCTCGAGGATAACGAGCAAGATGTTGTGTTGTTGTTGTTGTTGCCGCCGCTGTTGCTCCTCCTTATTATCCTTTCGTCGAGGCCACAGCGGCTGCCACTCAGTACGCCACAGTTGACCACAAATTCTTCGTCAATCAAATCGTATAGGTTGACACTACGAGTATGCACACTGCTTGAATCTGTCAGCGATGACGACAAGGAAAACGAGCGAGTGCATGCAATATCATTGTCCGTGCGGTCCGGYGTGCTGGGRTTAARTGAACAGTCCGACGAAGAAGGATATCCGAAGGACAGTTCGCGGCGGGGAAGAATCGGAACTTCCCGGTTGCTGCCACCGATTGCGCACACTCGAGTGCCTGTGGGAGTGCACGGTGCGCTTCGCGCTGTTTTGACGTTGTTGGCTCGATCTGATGTTCTATTATTTGTCTGGGTGTGGTGGGCAATCTCTTGGAAATCTTTCTGTCGGGTTGGATCCAAAATTGTTGCRGTTTTCTCTATCATGGTGGTTACTGAGAGGAATTTTTATGTGTGTGATGGCCGCCGAACTTCATACACAGCGGGAGAAGCTGAAGATCGTGAGTCAACCACTTGTTTATGGTTCAACCTGCTGGAAGTGTCACGCGGACTACGGTACAGTGATAAAAAATTGGCACGGGACTTCTCGAAATAAGCTGTTATTCCGATAATTACTGTGTTCGAGTTCGGTACCGTACTCTCGTGATGGGAAGATGGAAAGCTGGATGGAGGAAGACTGGAAAGGCAGTGAGAAGCTAATAAAAATCCATCTCGATGAAGAAAAAGAGCCTAGAGAAAGTTCTGTTTTCCACTTTGGCGATTCAATTAATGATTACTCTATKAAAGAAAAAACAGTCTCAATAGTGATTGGATTGTCTCGAAGTGTAGAAACGAATTAACACTAAGTAAATTCTACTTGAGATTTTTATTTGTTTTCATCGTTAAATCTAAAACTTCCACGTTCGAAGACAACTTCGTGTACTTTTGGATCGTGCCGTCCACGTGTTGTGAAGAAAAAGGCCGTTGTACACCGGCGATTAGATTCTTATTTATTCACTTCCCAGGAATCTGGCGAATCTCATCGTCATCTTCTCATTGGATGTGAGAGGAACTTTTTGSGTCATCGCACGCGTCATGTTCATGCATGCAGAATTGCAAAACACAGTTCCGACCATTGGTTTTAAATAAAAAAATTCTGTCAACTCAACGATGGATCTCCTCATCTCCAACACGTGCCCAACAGTAAAATACCTTACGTATCGAATGGAACGGGGATTGTGGATTGAGATCCAGTATTAAGGGTATTTCTACTACTCGTAGAACCCAGTAGAATTTCTAAGGCATTCGGACCTGTCACGCCTTAACTTACACTTGAACTCGTTCTCTTCTGTACCACCGGAGAAGCGGMTGACCTCCACAAACAGGTCAAAAATTTAACGAAGAAGCCAAGACGAAGCATCGTGTCAACAGACGCAAACCACTACTACTACAGTACGACGAGGAGTGATGCAACTCGAGTGACACGGACAAGAACCGCCACGCGCTTTGACGCTGTCTCAAAGATGACAGAACAACAAGAAGAGGACTCGCATTTGATGTTTACGATCAACTCACTGATGCCGGTGGGTGTTTTGCATCATCCATTCGTTTACCACCACTGGTCGTTCAGTAATCTCAATTCCAAGTGAACACTGGTGATAAAGAATCTAATACTCGTACTACAAATACTACTACTAGTAAGAATAGCACCGCCCGCCACTAGTACTAGTAGAAGAATGACTAGCTAATAGTAGTAGTAGTAGTAATGCAAGAACAACACTACTAGGATTTGACTTTCTCGTCCTCACACCACTTSCAGCAGCATTAGTACTACTACTAGTACTAATAGTAGTACTAGAAAAGAAATTGATTCTTGTTGTTTTTGTTGTTGATAAACCACCACCAGCAACAAAAGCTAGTAAGACGTTTGCTACTGGAGTAGGTTTCATGGTACCGTACCGTAGGATTCAACAACAATGCAATTCTGTTTGACAGTTGCTAATTAGACTCATAACCTAGGGCAAATTCGACGCAAAAAATGGCGCGACACACGATACTGCATTCGAATTACGAACTTTCTTCTGTACCACACATTCCCTCGAAGATACGTACCTACMGTACGATAAGYTACGTAAGAGTACCGTAGCTCGTGTCGGTTCGTTTCGAAGGATGGAAGCATTTGTGATTTCCTCGTGTTTTCCATCAGCGTACGTACGTACATACTYACCGTACCGTACGTACGGGATCTCCCTTCTGCCCTCGGTTTCGAAAATCTTCGATCGAGTCGAATGGAACAATCCCAAACACCTCTCTCCGACAACCCAAAGACATCCCGAGAACCATCCCGAGCGGCACGACAACGATAGCAACCCAACCCAATCCAATCCAACCCAATCCAATCCAATCCAATCCAATCCAACCAAATAAATCCGCACCGATTCGCACCTCCCCCCCCCAACCATCATGGACGACGAACGATTCGATGGCCTCTATCTGAACGTGGCCCAGACCACCCGCGGCATAGAGCCGCTCCTGGACAGCGTCTTTTCCTTTCTCCGGCGAAAGACGGATTTCTTTTCGGGCCCACCGGGTGCGGAGGACGGAGCGGCCGCGGCCATTGCCAAGGTCCACGAGGTCTTGCAGAAACACGCCGATCGATACAAGAAGGACAGGGAGCTTGCGGCGGSAAAAAAGAAAGCGAAGGCCAAACAAAAACAGCAGGCCGCATCGAAATCGAAACCGAAACCGAAATCGCCTCCGAAAGCACCGGCAGAGCCCGAGACCACCACCACCACCACCAACAACAACAACAACAACAACAACAACGACGACGACGAAATCATCGAAATGAGCACCGATGGGGGCTTCGATGCTTCCACCACGGTGAAAGCCAAGAAACCGGTCGTCACGGCGCTGCCGAGCAAGAGCGGTCCTCCCGGGGCATCCACCACGGAGGAACCAAAACAGACACAGACACAGACACAGACACGGGCGCAAACAGAAACACAGACACCAACCACGCCCCCTCCCCAATCCGGGGCGAGCCCCTGCGAGACCGACGGGGACGACGCCGAGGGCCCCCCTCCCGAGGGAAACGGCGGGACGGTTCCGGGCAAATACGTCTGGACGCAGACCCTTTCCGAGGTGATGGTCGGCGTCCCCGTCCCGGAGCACACGCGCGGCCGGGACGTCAAGGTGGCCATCACCCCCACGCGCCTGACCATCGCCCTCCGGGCCGGAAAWGGGCCGATCGTCGACGCYCCCCTCACCAAGAAGGTCATCTGCGACGACTCCTTCTGGACGATCGAGGACGGGAACCGCCTGGTCGTCAACCTTCAAAAACTCAACCAGATGGAGTGGTGGGAGTCCGTCTGCGTCGGGGATCCGGCCATCAACGTCCGGCACATCCGGCCGGAGAACTCCAGCCTGTCCGACCTCGACGGGGAGACCCGCAAGACGGTGGAAAAGATGATGTTCGACCAGCGGCAGAAGGCCCTGGGGAGACCGACGAGCGACGAGCAATCCAAGCTGGAYGCCCTGGAGATCTTCAAGAAGCAGCACCCCGAGATGGACTTTTCGAACGCCAAGATTTCGTGAGGGTCCCTCGCGGTGCTGGGCGATGGCACTGCACGGGACCGCAGTGCCGCCGCGCATTCCCAAGCCAGGACAGGGCAAGGCCCGGAGAACCCAGCTCTGCACCATGTCCTTCTACTAGAACAAAGAAACTGCGGTTTATAGTGTACGCAGGACTCGCAGACATAACACATTATAATTTCTAATCTGTGATACTGGTACTTGGTTTTCACTATTTATATCGTGGATTCCTCAAAGGACTTGGCTGGCAAGCAATGCGGTGGTTCTGTATRTTCGTGCCGATTTGCCCGGAAGCCCGTCTTTGTCTGCAATTGCTTTTATGTCATACAGTTCTGTCACGAATTCAGAGCATCTCTGTGGTCCCGGCGTGCTCAAAGAGGATATTGTTGCCACGCTTGATTCGATCCCAGCAATCGATGACTTCCGCCGCCGACTTGCGCGTTGCATTCGATGCACATCGACGTCTCCATGGCTTGGCCACACTCACCTATATAGTATGGGTGACCATTCGGACACTCGTACCAGTGACCACTGGCTCCTCCCCCGTAGTCATAACCTTGAATGATGTTCATGGCAGCAATCACGTCCTTCAGCTTCCTATTGGAAACGATTTCCCGTCTCAGCTCTCTTGCGCGAGCTACTTCTTGTGACGCCGCGATAGGCATTTCGTTCTCAACCCAATCCAGATGTTTCAAGACAAGATCTTTCGGTTCATCKTGGGCCATCCATCGCCACAAAAACTCAACGAATTCGATTCGAATCGAAGCGGACGAGCTCCAGCTCTGGCTTCTATGGGCAATGTCGATGGCTTCGAGGAATGCATTCTTCGCCTTTCTGTGGTTTCCGTCGTTCAACTCTTCCACTTTTCCGGCACGGACTTGAGCGGTCATGCGGACGACCTTCAGAAGAAGCGACGGGGACGGACGAGGTACCTCGACCTCGTCGGCCGTCTCTAGGGAGAGACACGCATTACGGACTTGTTGAATGGGACTGGTCTCGATCGTTTTTCGAAGTTCCTTTAGCGTCTTGAGGTTCTTCTCTTTCATTTGGGACAGCTGGCTGAGAGTTTTTTCAACGAATTCCCTGTGCTTGCGTTCGAGACCACGGAGAGCGATATAGTTTAGAATACGCCCGTATCTGCGGATCGYAGTGATTGGAAATTGGCATTGTGGGCACCGTTTTGGGCGATCGGAGAGGCCACTTTCCAGTATCGACTTGATAGAAAGATATTCGCCAGACTCCGGATTCTGGTCGTAAACTTTGCCCATTTCGAGATGCCCATCAAGTGTCTCAATCCCCAAGAAATGACCACAAGGCAAAAATATCACGGGATCGCTATCCAGATCATGCTCCGCATATTGTTCCAGTAATATAAAGTCTACAACAGTCGATTTGATGTCGTCGCTTCCGCATTCAGCACAGTACTTCTTATTTGGGCACGGTTCGCCACAGACCGAGGGACAACGGTGTCCGCAGTCGAGAAGTTTTGTGCACCGCTGGAGTAACAAAACATGTGAGAAACAATTGTTCGAAATGGGAAAGCAATCGTTGTCATTTTTCAAACGATTCTTACCTTGTTACAAGGCAACCTTGTGCAAGGAGCACTGCAAACAAGCTCRCACTTTCCAAAATGTTCACATTCCCAATCACATTCTTCGACGCATGACGCACACTAAGGGTTACGCAAAAAGATGAATTAGATGAAAGCTTTAGAAGTAAAGCAAT